AGCTCATTGCACACCTGTGGGGGGACATGCTGGGGTTCAACGAACATTCATGAGGTTGTCTACTTCATTTAAATGGAGCAACATGAGGAGAGATGTCAAATTATTTGTCCAAGAATGTTCCATTTGTCAACAAATAAAGAATTCAACTCAGGTACCGTTTGGCTTATTGCAACCATTAAAGATTCCTGATGCAATTTTTGATGACTTAACCTTAGATTTTATCACTGCATTACCAAATTAGTCCAATGGGTATGCAACCATATTAGTGGTGGTGGATCGATTGTCTAAATATGGCCACTTTGGACCATTACCAGCAACTTATACTGCAGCAACTGTAGCTGCCTTATTTTGTGAGATGGTAGTGAAGCACCATGGCTTTCCAAGATCTTTGGTTTCGGATCGTGATCCAGTTTTCATGAGTCGGTTTTGGCAGCAGTTATTTCGTTTGAGTGGAACTAAATTACTTGCTAGTTCCTCATACCATCCCCAAACGGATGGACAATCCGAAGTCACCAACCGGTATCTTGAACAGTATTTGCGTGCATTTTGGTTTGATCAGAACAGTAGATGGTCTCAATGGCTATGCTGGGCTGAGTTACACTATAATACTTCAGTGCATTCTTCCATCCAAATGTCTCCCTTTCAAGCGCTATATGGGAAACTACCAACTCTCATCCCTCAGTACCACAAGGATTCTGTTCAAACAGAAGCAGTAGATATGATGTTGCGTCCGAGAGGGGAAGTTTTATCCTTATTAAAAGTGCAATTACAACGAGCACAACAAAGAATGAAGAATGAAGATGACCGCCACCGTCAGGAACGTGCGTTTCAGGTTGGCGACCGGGTGTTAATTAAGCTTCAACCATACCAACAAGTATCAGTAGCTAAACGGGCTAATCATAAATTGGCTAAGCGTTTTTTTGGTCCATATACCATAGAACAGGTTATCAGCCCTGTTGCTTACAAGGTTAATCTTCCAGAAGGCAGTTTAATTCATCCTGTTTTTCACATTTCGGTTTTGAAACCATTTTTTGGTTCTTCCAGTCCAACTTTTGCAGCTTTACCAGCAGACAGCATTGATCACAGACCTGTACAGGTTCCTATAGCCATTCTAGCTTCACGGCAGATTACATTGGGCGGCCAAAATGTCCTACAAAAATTGGTGCAATGGTCTACAACTGTTCCGGAGGATGCAACTTGGGAAAACGCTGAAGAATTGTATCAAACTTATCCCAACCTTGAGGACAAGGTGGCTTTCGAAGGGGGGGAAGATGTTAGGAACATAACAGGGCCTGAAGCCCGAAGCAAAAGGATAAGGGGTTGTCCTTCGTGGGCCTTAGATCATGTAACATAGTGGCATTAACATGGGTTGTGATCCATGTGAATAAGAAGACAGTTAATAGTTAGTTGTATTGAGTAGTAGTGCTTGCGTGGCAGCACCTAAATGTAACTATAAATAAGGGGGCATTGTGTAGTGAAGGACTCATTGATCATTGTGAATAAGAATATAGTTCATAGTTCTATTCTGTTACAGATACCCATTCCGTATCATTGGTGCATTGGAATTCTTTCCTTTCACGTCTCTTTTTAATAGTGGATTTAAATTTAAATGTTTTTTGCGACTTATTTTGGATTTTGATTCAACAATGTTTTGCAGATGTGTAAAGTTTTACGTTCATTAGTCTGCTTGTTTCAGGATCAAACATAAGTTCCTATATCAACATGGTTTGTGATACACTTAAGAATACTATATCAAAGGCCGTGATTTATTGTCAAGTTAAAGAGGCTAAGAGATCATTATAATTTTACGTTCATTAAATGATGATATATATAGACTTTCACTACTGAATTTTCTTATTAACTATTTTAGGAGTTTGATTTTGTTACTTGAATTATTAAATTCATTATTTCTTAACAACACATCATTAAATGATAGTGTAAATTTAATGCATTCAAAATAAATTTTTATTTTATTTCTTGAATTGAAATTAGGGAGATTTTATGCATATAAATTGGGATTGGCTAGAGGAATGAGAAAAGCCCCTAATTACATAAAAGAAACCCCTTTCCTTTATAGTTTTTTTATTTGTATTTAGCTTGTCTTTTTCTTTCTTTCCATATATATAATATTTAGTTCTTAAATGTATAAGTCGTTTGCAATAGATAAAAAAATCTATTATCTTATAAAACCATCACAATATTAGTTAGCAGCATAGAGTGATAGCATTAGATTATAAATAATAACTACAAATAAAACTGACCAGCTGATTAAGGGCAAGGCAATTATTTTCCAAAATAAAAAAAACCTTGTTACATAATTTTTGCAAAATTAAATAAATAATAAAAGTTAAAGACAGAGCAGAATCTAACAACAAATTTTTAATTGAAAATAACTAGTTAGATTAAAATTAGGAATGATCGCATCCTCTGAAAGTTGTCTCATTCACGATAAAATGTGCCCAGTGTTGTTAGAAACATGTGCTCGGTGGCATGCCATCCCGGCATGGATTTTGACATTACATTTCATATGACAACAGATTATAAAAATAAAAAATCTGCCTTGCTAGTTTCTTGGTTAACAATTAACATCGACACTTCAAAAAATCTGACATATATATCGTGCTTGACAATTTTTGATATTCTGAAATTCCGTCGAAAAGTTAACCATATTTAATTTCTTTTTTTTTTTTTCAAGAGTTTTCGACGGAATTCCTTTTCTGTCGAAAATTTTCGACGGAATTTCTTTTTCCGTCGAAATTTTCGACGGAAAACAGATTCTGTGGAAAATTCCGTCAATACTTTCAACGGAAATATTTTCTGTCGAAAAATTCCGTCGATAATAAAGACTTTTCTAGTAGTGTTTTCCGACACTCCAGCACGCGTTGTAGAGATTCAAAAAAGGTTTAAAGGTTGCATTTTTAGTTCAAACTATTAGATTCATTAGATTACGACTACCATTTTATTGAGATATCTTATATTTCTTTGTAATATTGATGAGTATTATAAGTTTAGCTTTATTTTTTATTAAATTATTAAATATTAAATATAATATACTCTATACAAATTAAAAATATTATTTAATATCAAAGCATGTCCTAACATATAAAATTTAATATTTTTTAAAATCCCACGACGATGTTAGTGTAACATAGGTTAACAATATCCATGGAGGATCTGAAATCTGCTACGAAGGAGCACGTGGAAGTTATGGCAGATCTTGTTCAGAATTTCCCTTTGGAGCTTCGGCCTGGCCTTCGCCCAGCTTATGATAACTTGATGAGTTTTTTTTCCATGCCATTGATTGGGAGGTGCCCTCCTATTATTTTTTGTTTATTTTTTTCACTTCTTTTTGGGTGCTTGATAAATGAAGTGTTTCCATTTTTTTTTTTCTTTTGTTTCGGTGCTTGAGAAATCAAGTAAAACCAAGGTTGAAGTGCAAAAATTGGTGAAAGTTTCCCAGATTTTTTTTTTTGGCTGAAATTTGTTATTATTGTAATGTCCAGTATTTGTTTGTGCTGTGTAATATAATCACATGAAATTTAATTTTAGATTTTATTTTTGGTGACATTTGAATAGTGGAATTGGTGCAGGTGATTCATGATTTTTTGTTTAATAAAAAATTTAAAATTTGTTGTTGCCTTTCAATTTCTATTTGTAAAGAATGGAGCCAAAAAAAGTTTTTTTTTTTCACTTTTATTTGAAATTGAAGTATAAATTAATTTTTAATCAATGACAATTAATATTTATTAATTGAGACATTTATTCCTTAACTTTTTATATTATTATATTTTTTTATTGATAAATTTTAAGTATTATTTTTTACTTAATTTGTCATTCCTTATTTGGATTTCCAAATATTTATTATTAGTGTTTCCTAAATTAATTCAATCTCAAATCAATGAGACTTTAGTTACTTGATTTTATTAAATGATTTTTGTTTTGTATTTTGTATTTTTACTTAATTTATCATGCCCATATATAACACATTCCTCATTTAAGCTATACAATACATTAATGTCTTATAAATTGATTTTAATTTATTATATTTTTATAATATGAAATTTTAAATTATCAATGATTTTTAAAAAATATTTTTCTTTAATTTTCTCCAAATTAAATCCATAATTAATTTTTCCTGAGTAAACCCTAAATTTATTTCTTTATAAGACAAATCTTAAATTTATTTTTAATCAATCATAATCAATATTCACTGATAGAGGCACTTAATCAATGAAAATCAATATTTACAAATATATAAATTTATTCCTTAATTTCATTATATTATATTATTTTATTGCTTGATTTTCCAATGAATCAGTTTTTCTTTTATTATTTAAATTCTAGTGTTGTTAAAAGTTGCATTCTCCGTATAAACTTTCCAATTATTTAGTTTCAGTATTTCCTAAACTGATTCAATCTTAAATGGGATAGGATCCATTTATAATTTTTTTTTGAAAATTATACTAAGTACAACCGGTCATACACTGCATGATTAAAGTATGACCGATCGTACTTAATGTAGTTTGTAATAGTTTGTAAACAAAAAAGTTTGTAAATATAACCTGTCCCATATTAAATTAATGAAATTTGGCTCCTTACTTTATTAGATTACGATATTTTAAAAATAATGCTGCGTTAATCCATTGATTTTGTAAGATTATTTTTTCTTTTAATTTCTGAAATTGACACAATGTACTCTCTCTGTCATTGACTACATGAAGATAGGAATGGATTCTAGTGTTTAATTTTAAATACAAAGTGAGTGATTTGAAATGCAAAAAAGAGAGGCGACAGTAGATTCTGTTACATTTTACAACAGTTACCCTCTATCTTTATTTAAACAAGACCAACATTATTTAAAATTGAAACTTAAATTCAATAGCTGTGCTGCTCATCTGTAACAAACCACAACAGTAATGCATTCTTGATTATATAAGGTTAATTTAGTTCTTAGCATCTTCACCTCAGTAAACTAACCTTGATTATTAGTTTCTTCTGCAATGGCCAATTTGCAAACAGCGCCCACTGAGGTGGTTCCAGATGAATTTCCAGCGGGTCTAAGGGTTCTTGTGGTTGATCATGACATCACTGTGCTCAAAGCCACCGAGCAAATGTCTGCTCGATGCCGTTATCACGGTTAGTTATACCATATTAAATTGTAAATTATTTCACGATTTAATCTTACGGTAATTGTTATTTGTATATATGTTCCAGTTACCACATGTTCTACGGCTCTAGCGGCTTTGGAGATTCTGCTGGAGAGAAAAGATTGTTTTGATATGATACTCATTGATGATAATATGCCAGACATGGATGGCTATAAATTCATTCGGCACATTCATAGCAAAACGATCAATATTCCTTTCGTTAGTATGTAGTTAAATTTATCCTAGAATTTATAATTAATATGGAGAACTCATTTTACTCATCATTGAAAATTCAAATTCTTCAAATTCTGCATCTGCAGTGATGTCTGTCAGCGATGATCCAAGTGATGTCTTGAAGGCTATTGACAATGGTGCTTGTCATTATTTGACTAAACCATTACATGATGAAGAATTCAAAAATATATGGCAGCATGTGGTTAGAGAAGCCCGGATTGAAAATAAAAAAAATGACAAGTCAGTGAGCTTGGGAGAGGATGACCCAAAAAGACGGAGAAATGATGATGTTTTCGAATTTGCTTTGTCCGATGCTGATGCTGATGCAGATGCAGATGCAGATGCAGCACAAGCGGTTGTTCAAGCTCCACAGAAAAGCAGCAGCAGTTCACAAGAAACCAATGCTGTTGACTCTGGAGATATCGTTTATCCACCCCCGCCGGCAAAAAAGCAGCGTGTGGTATGGACAACAGAATTGCATAACGAATTCGTAAAAGCCGTGGATCAACTCGGAGTTGAAAGTATGATTTTTCAACTTCTTTTTTAAAAATTTCAAATTACTTCTCTTTAATCATAACATGACTCAAGTTTACAGCATCGATCCTTTGTTAGTATATTTTAATCATTTTATGCAATTTAACTCATCGGAGTTTATTCCTCCCTTATTTTGCAGAGGCTGTGCCAAAGAGAATTCTTGAATTGATGAATGTCCCCTATTTGACAAGAGAGAATATCGCTAGTCACTTGCAGGTTTGATTCTGGATGCATTTTACTTTTGTCACATCAAAACTCAAGAAAAGCCTACCATACGTAATTGTTATACGTATCTACGATTCAGAATTTCCTTCCGTGATAGGTATCGATCGATTGGTTGTATCAAAATAAGTCTTGTATTGGATTGTATATCACATACACTATCGAATCGTGTATCGTAAAATACGAAAATCAAACCAAAACTAAAAAAATTTATGGGAAAAGCAAATAAGGATATATTTGTGATTCAAACTAAAAAAATTATTATTAATATGGAAAAGAAACTAAAGATTTGATTTGTGATTTAAATTCAAAAATCAGTTAGCAAATTAGTGATAATATTAATCTTGATGATAAAGTAGTAGAAGAATAACTGTTTGAATTTTAGTTACTTATGTATTTTGTTGATTGAGTTTTTTTTTTTTGTATTTGAATTTGAATTTACATAATGTTATATATTTTTAAATTATTTTTTATTACGTTTATGTATCTTATCGTGATTGTATTTAATTAATTGTTATAATTTTTTTTTTTCTCATCTGGAGTAAATCCAACCTTCACATTAGATGATCTAATTCGAAATTTTAAATAGTTAAAGTTGTAAGCTTTACATTAAATGCAGCCGTCAAATTTGTTTTTAATCTAAACCGAGGCAAAAGATTGTAAATTAATACACTTTTTGTTGGTTCTAAAAGGATATTAAAATTACCCTTTGTGGTTGCATTATTGATTGGCAGAAATTTAGACAATATTTGAAGAGAGAGACAGAGCAACAGAATGAAATGCCAAACTCCGCCACTGGTACTACAGAAGGTGCACTTGGGGTATTTGACTTTCACGCTTTTGCTGGCTTGAATGTTTCCAGTGAAACCCAAGCAGGAGGCCTTCATAATGAGCTCATAGGTAAAATAATGCCTCAAGAGGACCAAGCTTCCCTACTGAAACCATTCATACAGTGGCCCAACCAATCTCATGCAGAACATGCTATGGTATGTGGTGGTCATCATCTAGCAAAATATCCTTCTAACATTTCCATGAATTCCCCTCAGTCATCCAGCATAGCTGTAGAAGATGCATCATTAGGATATGGAACATGGCGATCATCAGGCACATTTGATTCAGTGGGAGTTGGAAGGCTTGGTATTCAGAAAAATAATGAACTGATAGATATACTGCAGCTTAACCAGAAAAAGCTCGAGTATCAACAAAAAGAACAGCAACTGCAGCAGCAGCAGCAGCAGTCACTTATGCTCGATCAGATTCAGCCATCTCGCTCGGTGATTCCATGTACTGCTTTACAGGAGGAAAATAACGTTGCTTCTGTCAACCAGAATGTCAGCTTTGGCAGGAATTCTCTTACAGCTGATTATAATATTTTAGCACCTCAAACAAATAATTCACTAAATATTGCTCAATTACCTGGTGAGAACGCCAATGCTAGAGGAATACTCTCTTATCCAAGTCTTTCACCGGTGTCTGATACACAAGTTCCTGATGGTTCTATATCAGGTGATTCACTTTATCAAGCGTCTTTTAACAATCTTTGATTTCAACAGCTTGAATTGTTAGCTTCTTGCTAGCTAATTAAATGTTACTTTTTTTTGTACTGTTTTCAAGCAAACCTATATCTACATCATGCAAGAATCAGTAATTAATTAATTTAATGTTACGTATATAATTTTTTTCTTATTTATTTATTATTACTATTTTGTAATTGGATTTTTTTTTTGATGATATCAAATACTTGGACATCAGCGTGTTTGTTGGAATAGTAAAATTGTGCGTACTCCAAGGACACTGCGGCTATGATACCGGAATTCAACCGTCAGGGGTCATGACATAGTGACTCCTAACAAACGCAACACCGGCACTGCTTTCAAGTTTCGTATTAGTATTTAACTGTTATCTAAATTCTAAATGGATTACTTGCATGGAATGACGAAATTGAATAAAAATTATATATTAATACTCTATATTCACGTGATCACATACTCTAAAGTATTATAGATAATTTTAGATTGATACGTTTATGATGATTTATTAGTAAATTATTTACAGATAACATATAGATTTAGTTTAAGTGTATTTGTTTGGATCCTCTTTTTTTTAAACTAGAAGCTACTTATAAGTATAAGTTAGGTCAAATAAGTTTTGAGAAAAATTCTTTTTTTATAATGAAGAAAAAAGTAGGAGCTTTTTTTAGGCTCTTATTTGCTTTTTTTTAAATTGTGTGCTTTTTAAAAAAAATAAAAGTTATACATATAGAAAGAGAGAGATAATTTTCTTGAAATATTGCTTTGAAGTAACTTTCTAGCTAAATATTTTATATAATTATAAAATAACTTTTAATTTTTTTTAAGCTCTTTTTTTTAGCTTTAACTTATAAGTAGCTTCTAACTTAAAAAAAGAGAATCCAAACGGTTCTTACCATAAGCGAATGAGTCTGATTCTCCTTCCTTATTGTCCTTGTATTTATAAGGGTTCTCATAGCTGGTTAACGGTGAAGATCATGGGTGAGGAACCATTTTCCTAGTCAACACCGTGGCAGACAGTTGTTACAAAGCTGGGAAGGATCGTGGGTTTGATCCTACGATCCGTGCTTTTATTACTCAGTCTATTAATTACAGCATAAGGAGTTAACCGAGTGTATTAGTCTCGGTATAAGGTATTGGCCAACCTCTGCGCTACAACCTAATGGGTCCAACCTGGTTAACTAAATCAAAACAGTAAGATTCTACAGTCTTAATTTGTCATTCCATTATGTTGCTATCTTTAAATAATGTATAAATTTCTGGCGATGAATGTTTCAATTACAATTGGTTATAATAATTAAAGTTTAGAATCACAAAAGCGAGTGCAGTAATATTGCGTCGAGATGAATTGAAAACATATATTTAATGTAAGCTTCTACCTGTCTGTTGCTATCAATTAATTACTACCAAAACTTCGTTATCAACTGATAAAAATTTCTATTTAGCTGGCTACCAAAAAATTAATAATAAATCTATTTAGCTCTTTAAAAATGAAATCGGGTTTACTTTAGTCAAAAAAAAAAAGAAAAAAGAAAAAAATTATAATGGCATTGATTAACGATGGGATATATTTGTGTAATATAAGAGTAACTAACGAACCCTCGAAATTTATTGTCGATGAGTCATTATAAAATCTATCTTCCAATGACAAATACAAAATTGAAAGGAAGTTCAATTTGGTATAATTAAGTCGCATAAAAAATCTAAAACACGTTAAACAAGGACTGCTCAGTAGGTACTTAACTGGAGCAACCTTCCCAGCTTTCACCATTAATTTGTCGAACTGCTTCTTTCCCTCGAAAACCAACTGTGCTCTTTCCTTTCAGTTCTTTTCTAGCTCCCTAACAGTATCATATAGTAGTTCCATCCAATCTCAGATGACAATCTACCTAGCAAGCAGTACTTGCGTCCCTTCGTAGCATCAGGGACGACCATCCTTTTTATCTTGTCTTATGGATGAAGGATTCCCTCATTAACCTTCAAACGAGCAAGAGCAGCTTCCCCTCGCTTCGTCTTACGGGGTATCATTCCACGGAATGGATGAGACCATGGGAATTCATGTGCTTGCGTAGCGACGGTGGGTTTGAACTATGAAGAGCCATAATATTTCAAAAACAAGTTACTTCAAAGATACTTTTCAATGTCTTAGTATTATATAATATTTTTAATATAATATATTTCACATTAACAAAATATGATAAAAAAAAATTATAAGCACAAATAATAAATTATCCATACAAAATTGATAAATACCTCAACTAATGTGTGGACGTGGAGTGCTACTAAAAATTAACAAAAACAAAATTAATTACAAATTAATATGGACAATGAAATAGCAAAAAAAAAAAAAAAAACGGAAGAGACAAAGGCACGATAAATGGCTTGCTATATATAAGAGACAAAGGCACAACAAATTAACCAAAAAAATTATTAAACCAATATGGATAATTTTTGTTCACTGTCAGCAAAAAAAAAAAAAAAAAAGGAGAGACAAACAAAGGCATGATAAAAAGAAAGAAAAAAGACAAAATGACATTATTAATGCTCTTTTTTTATTTTGGTAACAATATTAATGAAAGAAAAAAAAGAAAAAATGAGGTTAAAGAATAAAGACAAACTGAGAGAGAGAGATAACGCGAGGAGAGGAAAGAAGGAATAACAACATCGAGGAGAGGAAGATGGCCGAGGTTAAAGAATAAAGACAAACTGAGAGAGAGATAGTTGCAGACGCAGTCACGCGAGGAGAGGAAAGAAGGAATAACAGCATCGAGGAGAGGAAGAAGGCCGATGTGAGTATGCAGAAGTGAGTCAGAAGACAGCATAGGAGAGGAAGACGATAGTTGGCAGAACTCAAAAGTGAGCTCTCACTCTTGGTGAGATGTTCGAGATGAGGTGAGTATAGAATTTAGTTAGATTTGAATTTAGGGTATTTTTTGGCCAAAATCTTCACCCTTCAGTTTTTTAAAATTCACAAACCTGTCATTTGGCTTAATTGAATTTGTTTGACCAAGCTGATACGTAAAAATCGGTCTGGGGATGTGTATCAGATACGTAGAAATTTTTTTAGCACGTATTGGTGCTTCATAGTTTTACATGATACTATATCCTTATTTTTATTAATAAATAATTAAATATTATTGAATTTATTTTTTTATATGAGTGAAATTAAAACCTAATACAACCTATTCAAATTCATCGATACTAGAACAAACCTAGTGACTTATATTTCATGATAAAACATGTGCCAAGTGTCAGTAGAAACGTGCTCAGTGTCGTGCCATTCCTGCATGTATTTTGAAATTGTATTTCATATGATAGCAGATTATAAAAATAAAAAAACTGCCTTGCTAGTTTATTGCTGAACACAGTGTCCACGGAGGGGCTTAAATATGTTGGAGGTAATGAGTTTGAGAGAGAAAAGTTTAGAAGTGCTTAAAGTATTACACCAAGAAATATCAAGTTTGGAATGCTCAACAGTGTTACCTCAAGCTTAGAAAATCCTAGAGATAATACAAGCTATTGAGCTTCAGCTCATATGGACCCAAATAATCATGCTTTTATCTATTGGGCTTGTATGTTAACATACTATTAAATTATATTATTAATATATTCAACACAAATGAGAATTAAACATATAAAATAATAGAACCTATCCAAATTCCTCATAACAAACCTAATGACTTATATGTCATGATAAAACATGTGCCCAGTGTCATGATAAAACATGTGCCCAGTGTCATGACTATTAAATTATATTATTAATATATTCAACACAAATGAGAATTAAACATATAACATAATAGAACTTATCCAAATTCCTCATAATAAACCTAATGACTTATATGTCATGATAAAACATGTGCCCAGTGTCATTAGAAACGGGTTTAGTGTCATGCCATTCTGCATGTATTTTGAAATTGTATTTCATATGACAACAAATTATAAAAGTAAAAAACTGTTCTGCTAGTTTATTGCTTAACATATAACAGTGTCCACGGAGGGGCTGAAATCTGCTATGTGGAAGTTATAGCAGATCTTTTTCAGAATTTCTCTTAATTTATCATGACCATATATAACACATTTATCATTTAAGCTATACGTACAATATATATCAATATCTTATAAGTTGATTTTAATTTATTATATTTTTATAATATTAAATTCTAAATTATCAATGATTTTTTCAAAATATATTTCTTTAATTTTTCTCCAAATTAAATCCAGAATTAATTTTTCCTGAATAAACAGTAGATTTATTTCTTTATAAGAGAAATCTTAAATTTATTTTTAATCAATCATATATCAATATTCACTAATAGAGGCACTTGATCAATATTCCTTAAGTATTACTTTTTTCGGTAATTAATTAAGTGTTACGCATATATCTTTTTCTTATTTTTTATTATTATTATGTAATTCGATTTTTTTTTTTGATGATGTCATATATCCCCTTGCTATGACAACGAAATTCAACCATTAAGGTCATGACATATATTTTTTTTTTTCTAAACTGTCGTGACTCCTAACTAACATAACACCGGTGCTGCTTTCAAATTTCGGATTATGTGCATGGAATGATGAAATTGAATCAAAATTATATATTAATGCTCTATATTCATGGTATCACTTAAATTTAGACTCTAGAGTAACTACAAAAAGATAGTTGATTAGCGGAGGTTTTTTAGTGGAGGTCAGGAAAACCTCCGCTAAATGATTTAAATTTTAGCAGGTTTTAAACCTCCATAATTTAAAATTATATTATTTTAATTTTTATATACCAATCCATATTGTTTTTAGTGATTTCCATTTGTTTTGTTTGTTAAAAAAATTTCTGGCGAGCTTGGATTTAAAAAAGAACTTAACTTAACTAAAATCCAACCCAAACTTAACGGAAGAAAAAAGGAAGCACCAAGAACGTGATATACGCAAAGAGTAAAACCTAAGGTTCAAAAATTATGCTTCAGCGCATCAATCTTCTCTAGCGCCCCTTTCTACTCTGGTGGTACTCTTTCTGTTTGCTCTTATTTCTTATCAAAATGTTAAGCTCTCTTCTTGTATCATCTCTTACTTCAAACACATTTTCGGATTTAAAATAACAAAGGGCGATTGTTCCATGCACTCACTGTAAAACTATGTGTCTCATGTGTAATGTGTGTCAATTAGTTTAATTAATAATAAAAGAGACTTTATGGTAATTGACGTTTCACATTAATGATAATTGACGTTTTAACGTTTTGCATTATGATAACGTTTCGCATTAATGATAATTGACGTTTTGGTCATTAAGGGAAGTTAATTTATATAATAGTTTATATGATAAGTTTTCATATAAGGGTATCTGATAGAAAACAAACGTCCTTCTGAGTCTGCCTAGAAAAGTTGTATCCTATCCCTACGGTGAAAAGGGTTAAGGCTTAGAGAAAGCATTCTACTATTAAAGATCTTCCGCAATTATGGACAAAAGTATGTTTATGTGAAACTCATGAATTCTAAAGATCCTATGTCATGTTCTTTGTTGATTACTGTTGAACATGTATTGATGAATTACTGATGAATTGGTAACACTCGCTGCTTCATATGCTTCAACTTTCTCTCTCATCACTTCCCGTTCCTCGACTCGACCTCACCGGAATCTCGCCGTTGCCGGAAAAGTGAGACTTGGAGCTAGTGACTCGTGTGAGTTGTGACTTCTCTAGGTTTGTTTTCTGTGTTTTTATTTTGGTTTCTGATTTGTGCTTTTAATTGGATTGTTTGTTACTAGTTTTCTGAAGTATTGGTAGTTACTCTTGAAAGAACAAAAACCCTAAAAACATCTTTCACCTGGATGCAGGGTTAAAGTGTGATTAAGTAAAGATTTGGGTAAATTTTGTAAGAATGGAAAGTGTGTTCTTCTGAAGTGTAGAAAATGGGTGATAATCTTCGATTCTTCGAGTTGAACACAGGGAAAAAGATAAATTTGTTTATGATTGGGGACTTGGCTTGCCGAACCTGGTGTTGTTTATGATGCCATAGCCACTGCTGTCAATGTTGGATATCGCCATATAGATTGTACCAAATCTATGACAATGAAAAGGATGTGACAGTTATTTTAAATTAACATTGATATAATTGATCAACTTTCTCATTAATTGCAAAGTACATGTTATATTTTTTATGCCATAAGAGTTATTGTATATTACTTTCCATTTTGCAACTACAAGATGAAAATAATTAAAACTATTCAATAGAAGCAGAGTTGTATTTGAGCAAACTGGTTTTCAAATTTTCTTTTGATTTTCTCTTTTGGTTGTTTTTTTTCCTGTCCTTATCCTCCTTTCTATTTGTCTAAAAAAAATATTTGAATAGTAAAATTAATCCCAGATATTTATAGAAGATTAATCCCAATCAGTACAGCTATCCTTTTTTCAATAGTACAAACCTGCTACATTAGCAATCAAGTTTATCTATAGTATAGATCCGTCTTGTAGTTACTCTTTCCACAAGAACATGGGTGCAACATGGCACAAATTTAGCATGTCATACATTTCCTTTTTAATTCTTAGCATATTAAGTTCATTCTAACTTCTAGTACAGTCAAAGCTGATCAACTTTATCACTTCCATGTAATTTCTGCATAAAATTTTCGTCCTATTTCATCTAGTTTACTCCAATACTTCATTTGCCAAAGTGAATCTTATATCAAGATTTTTGCTCTTGTCATGATTTAAAGATCGAACAGCTAAATGAGATCCTACCCCAATTTTGTAGCTCCTGAAGGTGCCTCTTAGTTTTGTTGTTGTGGCTGACTTAGCTGCAGATTCACTGGAACTTGGAATTCCTCTCCTACGCCCAGACCACTTGTGAGAACAGAATTTCTGTTTGTTCCATTGCCATCTCTTGTTCCATTGACCTGGTTAGTGAAACTCTTTTAAAGTTCAGAATAAAATTACTTGCAAGGATGCACTTATTTAAGAAATGGATCTTTTAGTTTTAGGAGATAAGTTCAGTATTTACAGCTATTCTGAAGCACCAGTTATTGGCTCTTGGAAGAATGAAATTGTCTTGTTGTTGTGTTTTTAACCTGGGCATCAATTCTGTCTGTGACTGGGTCGAATAATTTGCATAGATGCAATTTTTCTAATGATTTAAATATGCTTTATCAGAGAGGCATTTTTGCCGTTGGCATGATTTGTTGTGATGGAGAAGGCCGTCTAAACGAGAAGTCTGTCATGCTGCAGAGCAGGTAAATAGCCACTTTGTTATTTATACTTATGCATCTGTTATCTCTTGTCAGGCTGATGTATCTATGTGCCTGTGTGTTGGATTTGTTAATGAACAATATGTAACTGGTACTCTTGTGAAACAAAGTTTAGTCTACTTGACAAGAGCTTATGCCAATGAGAGAATAGCCATTATACGATTCTTAACATTTTGTGATCCATTATTCTATTTTAGGGGATGCATGTGGAGATTGACCTGTTGAATCATTTGAGGCCTTGACTATGTCTAAGCGTGACACTACATATCATATGTTTGCTACATTTTGTCTCTTCAATTTTACATAATAATGGGTCTGTTTTCTAATAACTCACAGTTTTGAGCATTCTGGAGGGAAATGCGTTCGCCTAGACTTACAACGTTTAAGCCATTTTTCAGTTTTTCCTGGTCCTCAGCAAATTTCTTAATCCTAAAAAACCTACATATCGTATGTTTCATAGACATCGTCCTTAATTTTTACTTGATCATAGATTATACTTAATTCTCTTGCCAAATTGTTTTGTTAACTTTATTGCTAATTATTTATCCTTCTAAGTTCTATAGCCTCACGAGACAGAATTACAGTTTAACATCGACCTTAAAATACGTAACAAAAGCATGCTATATAAGGTACCAAAAGTGTTATCCTTTGAACTAGCTATATTTCTCTCAAAGGAGAAAGAAGATATTATTTGTTTGATAAATGTGGTCCGGTGAATAAAATTGGGAAAGTGACAAAATGAACTTCCCTTTCATTTTTTGTTTTTTTTTATGGAAAACTATGGGATATACATGTGCCGTGTCTGGTTGCTGCCTTATGTTTCTTTGGGAAGCAATTATGCATTTGACAAAATGTGCCTGTTTGGCTGTGCTGTTACATAGCTTAAAAGTTGGAAGTTTTTTTATTTTATTGTTGGGGTGGGAGAGCTATCTAGTAATGTCATGAGGCTTGACCAGTTTGTGACCAAGTTAGCTTTCATGTGTGGCAGCAAGATCTATTGTATTGTTGAATACAAGCATTTAGAGCTTTTACTCAATGCACCTTTTAAATAATTAAATATCTATAGATTCTACATATATAGCCATGCCATCGCACTCTCTGTTTAGTGTATATATGTATAAAAAAAAAAAGAAAAAAGAAAGAAAAGGAAGATAATAAAATACACCAGCATGATTAAAATACTTCAAGCCTACACTGATTGCATAAGTGTAATATCGCTGTTATAGTAAAATTGATATATTTGCTGCTCTATCACATTTGCTTATTGGTTGTAAGCCTTGAAATTTTAATTCATGTCCTATTCTGTGTTCAGCCATGACTGTCGAGTCATGAAGCACATGAATAACTAATTACTTTCATGGAGCACATGTCCTATTCTATCTTGGTTTGGTCAAGGTTTCACAACCTTGATATCCCTTTCATCATTATTGTACTAACATTAATACTTTTTGTAAAGAATTTATTTCATTTTCAGGCTCCAGAAACAATTGTTTGGTACCACTTCTACTCCATTGGTAATGATTTCTTAATTTTTATTTTTAATGTTGAACTTTATATTATTAGTTTAAGTGTCTCATTCTTTTAAGCATACTAAAAGGGTACAATAAATTGGTTTTTCACATGATGAAGGAAGTGAAGAAGCTATCCCAACACGCGGAAGGTCTTTATTAAATAGTAATCACCCTTGAATTGGGTTATATAAATTCAATATTTTTGCTATGATTTTGGGTTCTGTAAAGTGACAAGTGCATCATTAGAGATTCGTATGGATTTTAGAGTTTAAAATGGATTTATTTTATGTGTTTTTTGTTGTGGATAATTGTAAATTTCCTACTCTTTCTCATTTACACAACATTGAATCAACTTTATATCTTTTATGAATGTGTACAATTATAGTGAGGCATATTCTACTATGAATGTTGTTATGCCCTTCATTAAATAAGAGAACATTATGTAAGTTTTTTTTTTTTTGCTAGACATTAATTCAACTTCATATTATAGTATATAAGTGTTAGAGTATATTTATACTTTTATTTATTTAAAAAAGTATTAACCAAGTGCAAGCATAAATATAAACTATAATTGGTGTGCTATAGTGTTTGAATAACTAGTATTTAGTAATTGTTTTCAAGGAAATGTTAAGAGATCAAACAAATAAACAATAAATTGGTTAACAAATCAAGTGATGAGGCCCAATTCCAAAATTATGATTTACAAACTTTTCAGATTTGGATAACTAGTATTTAGTGGAGGTTTAAATATGTCAAAATAATAAATAAATTGTAGCAGTCTATACCCTCTAGAAAATGATGAATTTTGTGGGAATATTGTGGAGGTTAGTAAATTCCAATAAATAATACAATATTTGTGGGGGTCTCGAACCTCCAGAAAATACTTCAACAAATTGTGACATTGTACAAAAAAACCCCCACAAACTATTTTGTGGCGAAGACAGAACTGGGGATTTGGGTGAATGCCACAAATGTCTTTTGTGGGGGTCAAAGACCTCCACAATATGAAAATATGACCTCCACAATAAATTGGTTAACAAATCAAGTGATGAGGCCCAATTCCAAAATTATGATTTACAAACTTTTCAGATTTGGATAACTAGTATTTAGTGGAGGTTTAAATATGTCAAAATAATAAATAAATTGTAGCAGTCTATACCCTCTAGAAAATGATGAATTTTGTGGGAATATTGTGGAGGTTAGTAAATTCCAATAAATAATACAATATTTGTGGGGGTCTTAAACCTCCAGAAAGTGAAATATTTGTGGGGGTCTCGAACCTCCAGAAAATACTTCAACAAATTGTGACATTGTACAAAAAAACCCCCACAAACTATTTTGTGGCGAAGACAGAACTGGGGATTTGGGTGAATGCCACAAATGTCTTTTGTGGGGGTCAAAGACCTCCACAATATGAAAATATGACCTCCACAAAATGCCTGAATTTTTGTAGTGAGTATTATATATAATCTTAGATTGACACGTTTATGATGATTTATTAGTAAATTATTTACAAATAACATTCTGAAATTTATTAATAACTGTTCTTTATGAACATCAAATATAGATTCTAGTTGAAGGATATCTGCTTGGTGTCTGTTTGGATTTATAACAGAATTCAACCATTAGGGGCCATGGCATATTTCTGTTTTTTTTTCTGTGTTAAATTGTCGTCACTCCTAACTAACATAATATTACCTGTGCTGCTTTCAAATTTTGTATTACTATTTAACTGTTATCTAAATTCTAAAATGTACAAATGTATTGTGTGCATGGAATGATGAAATTAAATAAAAATTATATATTAATACTCTATATTCACATGATCACATAAATTTAGACTGTAGAGTATTATATATAATTTTAGATTTATACGTTGACAATGATTTATTAGTAAATTATTTACAAATAACATTCTAAGATTTATTAGTAAGTGTTTTGTATAAACACCAAATATAGATCATAGTACGAGTGAATCAGTTTGATTTTCTTTCCTTTAGTATTATTCTTATATTTATGAGTTTTCATAGATGGTTAGTGATAAATATCATGGGTGAGGAACCATTTTCCTAGTGAAGACCGTGGCATATTATCAAGCTGGGAAGGATCGTGGTTTGGTCCTTCGATCCGGGCTTTTATTACTCAATTTATTAATTCGAGCTTACAGCTTAAGGAGTTAACTGAGTGTATTAGTCTAGGTATAAGGTTTTGGGCCAACCTTTGCTATGTAATCTAATGGGCCTAACATGGTTAACTAAACCAGAAGAGTAAGATTCTATAGTCTTAGTTTGCATTCCATTCTGTTACTCTGTCTCTCCAAGAAGTATCTTTAAATAATGTATAAATTTCTGCCAATGAATGTTTCAATTATAATTGGTAATAATAATTATAGTTTAGAATCACAAAAGCGAGTGTTCACAATCTATTACGTCTATTTGGATTGAAAACATGATTGACAACCTATATTCACACTCTATTACCTGTCCAAAACTTCGTTATCAAGTAAAAAAGTTTCTATTTAGCTGGCTATCAAAAAATAATAAATCTATTTAACTCTGTAGAAATGAAAATCGGACTTACTTTAGACAGAAAAAAAATAAATTATAACCTATAAAACATGGAGTGGTCATTTTTTTGGAATTGTGCATATCGGACACGTGTCCGACACGGACACACATCCGACACGCAGTCAATATTTTGGAACACGCTTCGACACGTTTTTTTGACACGCAGTCAACTTTTTCGGACATGTGGTCAATGTTCGGACACGCTCGGACTCATTTTTTTTAGTCTTAATTTTATTTTATTAACTAAAAATAAAAAATCATTTATAAATCAATTTTTTTCTGTTATGAAATTTCACATGAAAATTAACAAGGTACGAAAAATTATTTTTGTTTATATTTATGTTATGAAATTTGAATATTTGATTGGTTATATGACTTATTATAGACTGTTATATATATTAAATATAAATTATATTATATATTAAAAATATTATTTAATATTAAAACGTGTCCTAACGTATCGAAATATGTCATTTTTTCGAATTAACGTGTCGTGTCATGTCACGTGTCCCATGTCAGTGTCTGTGCATCATAGTTTATAACGACATTGATTAACGATACATATATTTGTGTAATATGAAAGAAACTAACAAACCCTCAGAATTTATTGTCGATGAGTAATTTAAATTTATGGGTTTGATGTTTGTCCCTTTTAAAAGTAGGGAATTAGTGATGGCAAAACGGGTCGGCTCGCCCCGACCCGCCGTCAACCCGCCAAAAGTGGGTTGGCCCGCCTCGCCTCTAGAATTTGGGTTGTAAATTCCAATCCGTCCTATTTTTTGGTGGGTTGGCGGGTCAACCCGTCTAAAAATAAAAAATAATTAAAAAAATAAAATAAAATATATTTTATTAATATTACAATATTACTTATTTTCAAATTACATTTTCCTTAATTTTTTTTCAACTTAAGCCTATGCTAATATTCAGTTATATATTCTTTACAAACTTATTTTTATCTCCATATATAAATTACCTTTATCATAAATAAAGTTTTTCTTCTTCTATTTTTCCAGAGAGTACTAAGATAACAAAAAGTTAGATATCACAATAGTTTAAAGACAAGTAAAATATTAACTAATAGTAAAAAAAAAAATTGGATCGGACGGGCCGACCCTCGCCAACCCGTTTTGACCCACAAAACCAAACGAGGCGAGTTGGTGGATTGAAATGTGTTACCCAACCCGCCCCGTTTTAGCAGGTTGACCCGTCGGGTTCAACCCATATTGCCACATCTATTTAAAGGATATAAGTTATTATTACAAAAAAAAAAAAGAATATAAGTTATATCATTTTAGGAGAGAAATAGACACTGAATGAAAATCATGGGAAGTGGTTTTTTTTTAAATTTTAATTTTAATTAAAAAATATTATTTTGTGTCTATTTCTAATATAATTTTATTTCATTTAAAATGACAAATATTTTCCCTAAATTTAAACAACATTTTTTTCGTAAGTTTTAATTCATCATAACAAAATCTATCTACTGTAATCATGTGCAAGTATGGAAAATGAAATGCGTATGTAACCCACGGGCAGTTTTTTTAAAGCAATGGAAATTACGTGGAAGAAACAATTCTACAAAGCACGAGATTAACTCTGATTGATTGTTATTTTTAAAAACAGTTTTTTAGTTTTTAGAACAAAAAAATTCGTTTGGGAAGACTTATTTTGTAAAAAATATTTTGAAAACTATAAATGTTTTCTTGTTTTTAGAATTAAATCTAGAGAACATGTGTGAGTTGTTTTTATTTTTTTTTTGGATTTTAACTTTCAAAATTAAATAAATATAAGAAACAACTGTTTCCATAACTATTTTACAAAACAGTTTTAAAAAAAAATAAAATTAGAACACAATCAAAGAGACGCCCTAAATAAAAACAACTTCCAAGATTATCAGATCTAGGGTCCAATGACAAATACAAAATTAAGAGGAAGTTCCATTTGGTATAATTAAGTGGCATAAAAAATCTAAAACACTTTAAACAAAGACTACCCAGTACTTCAAATGGAGCGATGACATCAAGTTGGGAACCAAGCCTCTCATCAGCAACCTTCGCAGCTTTCACCCTTAATTTGTTGAACTGCTTCTTTCCCTCGAAAACCAAATGTGCTCTTTCCTTTCTGTTCTTTTCTAGAACCCTTAACAGTATCATATGGTAGTTCCATCCAACCTCAGATGACAATCTACCTAGCAAGCAGTACTTGCGTCCCTTCTGAACCCTCAACACCTTCGTAGCATCAGGGACGACCATCCTTTTTATTTGTCATATGGATGAAGGATTCCCTCATAAACCTTCAAACGAAGAGCAGATTCCCATCGCTTCGTCTTACGGGGTATCATTCCACGGAATGGATGAGACCATGGGAACTGGGAAGGCTTGGTGTTCATGCGCTTGCGAAGTGACGGTGGGTTTGAAATGTTGCTTTACCTGATAATGTACCTTTATTTTTATTAATAAATAATTAAAAGGAAAATTATTTGTCATTTTTTTTTTTTTTTTGATAACATAAAGTTATGTCATTTGAAGAGAGAGATAGACACAAGAAAATTTTTTTATTTAAAATTTAAATTAAAAAAAATTACTCACTTTCTATCTCATGATTTTCATTTCTTGTGTCTATCTCTCTTCAAATGACATTACTTATGTCATTTAAAATGACAAACACCAAACCATTAATTAAATGTTATGAAATTTGTTTTTTTATATAAGTTACAATTGAACTAACCTAATACAATACAACCTACTTAGATCACTTAGCACTAGC